ACCTGATCAGGTTTCAGATCTGGCCCAGGCACCGCCCTGCTAACCGACCCCACGATTGTTTCATGCTTCCGTACACATGTCCGACGAACGCCTCACTGCGGTCCGAGCAGCCATACATACTCTTGCAAACTCCACTACCCAAGCATCATCGCTGCAAACCTGCACTGCCGTTATTATGACAGCGGGTCAGGTTTATCAGGCTGTTGCCTGTCGAATGTAACGACAAACTCCAAAATCTCACCCTTCCGCATTCCTTTGAAAACCTGAACCCTTGACGAGTTCCATATTTACACAAAGTTCGTCTGAGGGGTAAGCAGTATGATCAGTCATCCGGACCTCCAGACCTGCAAGGAACGCTGCAACTCTCGTTGGCGTCGTCGACGTCACCATCATCTTATGTATTCTCCAGTCACGAAAAACCGTCTGCTGCCAAGAAGACGCGCGAAATTGACAATGCAAATTCTGCTCTGGTTCCAAGGCTCCGGCAGCATCTCGCGATCGATCCGTAGATAAATCGAAACTTCGAAAGTATATCCTTGCCGCGGAGACCGAGATGACAAAGCTGTTTAATTTCCGCCGATCATCCGGACAACACCCTTCGCTGAGCGGGGTCTTGGTGTGTCAGTGCGGAGTCCTTGATTGATCACAATCTAAGTAACGCGCTCTTGTGTGTGATAGTCACAGGGCGTGACCGATGGAAAATCGATGCCCAGAGTCCGACGAGAGAGTTTTGGGTTATCCGGATTACAGCAGTCTACTCTATCATCCCTGTGCGGTTGAAAACTTCAAGAAAGAACGATCTCCAAGCTACGTGTATACGCTCCCGACTTCCGCTCTTTGAGCTTGCACACCAACTTCTGCTTCAATTCGCAAATTTCATACAATCACGATACTGACCTCTCGTACGGGTTTACCAAGTTGCTTCACTCGCGGTGACCTGGGATACGGACTGTCCGCGATGTATGAGGATCCCATATTCAGTCATCTTTGTAGCCATCGCTGCCTATCGCGTTCAACGGGAAAGCGCTGCCTCACTGTGATCTCAATACCTCGAAGTCAAATTCAAAAATCGCGGCTAGCTTGTGCCGACAGTTTTCCTCATGTGTCAAGGGCGAACATGACGAGCAAGGAATGTTCTGACGTCCTGATTTTTGAAGCTTTGTATAGTTCACACACGAGTATAACGAGCACCAATACAATGAAGAAGCCGAATACTCTGCATTCTACATTGGTAACAAGGCCAAAGTTGGCAAGTTCTTAACGCAATGCAAGCTTCTGGATTACTTGTCGCTATCCTTCTGGTAGTGGGTGTTCAATCGCTTTGCTGGGATGGGGCGTGAGAAACAACGGGTATCAGCAATCATCCCTTTCGCATCGGCTTATGTGGAATTACGTCACTACACACTCTCACTCACACTCACACCTTCACTACCACGTTGACAGTTTTTCGCTTGCTGGGCTTTATTCACTCGCGAAGTCTTGGAGCGCCCGCTTTCCTAGAGAAATTACCTTCGCGTTACTCACTAATGCTCCTTCCTCTTCCTAACTTCACCTTTACACGTCACCCATTCTGCACCTACTCAGATGTTGTTCGGTCCTCTCCTGCAACTCGCAGTGCTTGCGACTGCAGCTGAGATCAAGCATAAACCGGATTCCGACTATGTCTTCTCCTGCGATACTCCCATTCCCCCTCTCCCCAACGGGACCATGGTCACGAGCTGGGCGCAGTATCTCGACGAGACTGGCGAAGATCTCGATTCGGGCGGCCAGGGTGCTGTTGATCACTTTGGTGGCCCTGCCGGTAAAGCTCCGATGAAATGGCCTCGTAACTCAGAGAATTTGGCCAAGATCCCTTACTGCTATTACAACGAACATGATCGCGATGCGACCCGCGAGGTCATCGAGGCCGCTATCAAGTCGTGGATGAGGTGCGTGTACATCCAGTATGATCATCAATAGATTTTTGACAATGAACTTTTAGTTACCTTGGTCCTCCAGGAAAGGAATCTGGTCACGCCATTAGTTTCGAAGAGCTTCTGGATAAGGGACAGCCAGTATACTGCTACGAGCCGCACCCGAACGATCCAGAACCCGACTTCCCTTGGTTTTATAACAAACACCTCACTAACGAGATCGTAACAATCATGGTGAGCAAGGGAGCGACCGGTTGGGGAGCTGGTGTAGGTCTAAGGGCTGACCAGTCATTTCCCTGGGGAAACATGCTCTACGTCCCGGATACCGGTAGTCTTGTGAACGTGGAGTGGGCGGCTATGCACGAGCTTGGTCATGTCATGGGTGAGTAGTCATGTACGATTAGGCCGCTGACGAACGTGCTAAAGAAAGCCAGGTATGGCGCATGAACACCAGCGTAATGATAGAGACAACTACATCGTTGTCAAGCCCGAGTTGTTGGACGATTTTGAACAGGTTAGTATAAATCACCAGAACATAACCAACCATTTCTGACTCGGAATAGTGTTACGAGCGCGCCCACGCAAAGAACTCTCGGGTTACCAAAGAAAACGTATGCGCCTCCCTGCGATACTCACTTCGGAACCAGTGCATGTGCAGAGAGATCATCAAAGGCATGGCCGAATTCTATCTCCCCCTCTTTGCCTTCGACAAATACGACCTCGATAGCATCATGCATTATCCAAGCGCCCTTGGTGGTACACAGAAGTGCCAACTGTACAGCGGTGAGGAGGACACTGCTGATTGTCCTATTCAAGTCTACAAGAACTTTGAGGACCATAGCCAAGGGACTACGAAGATTACGCCGAACTTGCATCCGTCTGCGCAGGATATCGCGTGGGTCAAGAAGGTCTACGCTTGGGATGAGAAGGGTGGAACGCCAGATGCGACAAAGTTATCCACTGCCGTCGCAACGTCATCGACCGCTGCATAAGGCTTCGAGCTGTTACGTGGGGGCGGCGATGGAAGATTGCTGGACAGGCAGAGACTGAGGTAGTTTAGATGCTTCGTAAAACACGTTCGATGTTCAATCATGCTTACATATTGTCAAAGCCAAAGTTTGCCGATCTCAACTTTTGGATGGTGCAATGAACCTTAGTGGGGGTGGCACGGCAGGTACCCAGGCAGCTCCGTCATGGCGGGCATTCTCCGCATCCTCGCCTACCCTATCTTAATGTTTCTTTCCCTTGATACGTGCGTTGATCTCTTCCTCCATCCTGTTTTGTCAAGAATGCGGATCTCAGCGCAAAAACGAGTTTTCAATGTACTCTGTAGTACAGTCGCGTTACGAAGCGCTGCGCGGTGGCGATCTTCTTATTGGTCTTCTGCATCGCTCACCGGTTTTTCACAGCCTCCTCCACTATATATTGGCTGGACCTTGCAAGGCTGAGCCCGAGAACCAGTATATAATCTCGTATATCTAAGGCATCGCGGAACGATCTATTACCAACTCATTGGACTTGCCACAATGAATGCATTCGTGAAATCATGCGAAGCCTTCCTGCACTATCCGACAAACATCGTAGAGTCTAACGTACGCGCTCACAGCCTGCAAGCGTATCACACCAGATTGAAGCACCAGGCACATCGCCTGTTCGTGGATGAAAAGAATGCTGCTGTGAGCTTCCTGGATCTTCCACAAGCTCAACCATGTATGTTGATTGGGGGTTTTTTTTTATTGACGTAATCGAGCTATGGGTGCTGAACTTTCGCAGATCTCTCACCAGAAACCTTAAACAGCCTTGATGATGTCAAGCAGCAGCTGGGACACGCTTCCCAAAGCGAAAACCAGAAGAATGGTTCTCGTTTCATGTAAGCCTGATTAACAAACGAGGAGCTCATGTCATAACCTTGACTAGATATCTACAAGCTGAACACGATCGAGCACCGTTGAAATTGACGTTAGAAATGCTCTTATTCATATTCACTTACCATCAAGTCATGCCGTTATTTCTGGATTTCGTCTTCTCGTTCGGTCGCCAGCTACATCAGCAAGGCCTCCGTTTCAGCCGATTCAAAGATGAGAAGGGCTTACCTGCGTGGTGGGCGAGCACACTAACAAAGCGCTCTGTTCAAACGCAGGAAGAAATAAGGGTTTGCTACAATCTATGGTCTGCCGAAAGACTGCCAGTAAATCATGCGTTTCCTTGGTGTATTCGGCAGACTGCAGTCTACCATACTTTTGACCAAGACACTGGCAAGACCTTATGGATTATATTGAAGGATTCCGCAAGTCTGGAAAGTGAACTTCACAAAGCTCATATTTCTGTGTCCTCCTCAGGTGCTGGGATCGTCATCGACAGCTGGCGTGCAGCTCTTTCGGTACACTCGGTAATCTTCGACTGGTCAGGCGAGAATTGGCGCTGGTATCTAAATGATATGGAAGAGAGAGCTGAGGTGCTGACAGAAAAGATCCTTCGCACGCGCTTCAGTCATGAGCTGGAAACCCGTTCCTTTCACCCTCCAACCAGAGAATACGCAGTCACGAAAGACACTTCAGGAAATCAGCGAGATCATCCAGAAACTTTGTTACACTCTGAACCGGATCCCCACTCAGACCTAACATTCAGCGATCTCCAGCAAATTCACTTTCTGGAAGAGAAAGTGCAAGAAGCTCTACTGGTAGCGCAAATGAACATCCAGGTCCTGGATTCGCTTGCTAAATACCAGCATGATCGCATGCCATCGATAGCTATTAACTCGTATTTAAAGCTTGACTCCCATACCGAAAAGGCGTTATACCGTCCATGCGACGACGAAGTGATTCGGGACTTCAAAACATCGCAAACCCAGCTGAAATCGCTGTTGCATTTACTTGAGAACCGGAAACATCTAGTACGTACTTCAAAAGCCGTATGCAAACATCCAGCTACAGATGGAGTGGTTTTGACCTCGTTGTCTACCAAGAGGAGTTACACATACGATTACGGTGACTGACAGAGACGCTACAGCTAAAAGACATCCTCCAGTACCGAAGCGTCAAAGCCAACGAGGACACAGCAACCAAGACGAGGCAGGAAGCCACATCTATGAAGGTCATTACATCGGTGACCCTGTTCTTCTTGCCAGCGACCTTCATTGCAGTAAGCTAATCCCCCATTCAAAGCTCCCACCACCAAATTTCATCACCAGCTAACTCCCACTAGACCTTCATGAGCACCAACATTGTCTCCTACGAAAACGGCAACAGTAACATCGAGACGGGCGGATTGAAGACCTACCTCGCCATCACATTGCCCTTGACAGCACTCACGTTTCTGGCTTGGTATGTCATCTACAGGTACGCTAGGGAGACGGGCTTCTCGCGCAGCCGAGATAGGCATGAGGGTGAGAATGGTCAGCAGTTTGTGTGAGCTCAGTGTATGGCGGAATGTTATGTGGTGATCATGGGGGTTGAGCATCACCACAGAAGAAGAATAGTGATGATTTAATGAACTCATATTGTACAATCATACATACATCTTGCACGACCAGCCCTATGCCAGCAATGCCTTTCCTCCCGTATCGTCGCCATCATCATCATCACCATCACCATCATCCATAGCATCTCAGTTATTCCTCTTACTCTTCTCCTTCGCCTTCTTCGCCTTCTTCCCTTTCCCCCCCTTCCCCTCCCCATCATCCTCACTCGCCCTCTTCCCACTCCCCTTCCCATTCGCAGCCGGCTCCAACGCCGCATCCGTATCCTCATCCTTAACCAGCAACTCATTGAGCGCATCATTAAAGTTCTCCATCTCGCATATCTCACCAATCTTGACGCGCATGTAGTCGAACGCAATGGCGACCTTCATATCCTTGTTGCGCACCTTGATGACGCGGGCGTTTTCTTGGAGCGAAGACGAGGTTTCCTTGGGGAGAGAGGGTATGGGTTTTGCGGGGCCGGGAGCGGGGGCGGCGGTGGAAGAGGAGATGGAGGGGTGCATGTCCATGTTGTCTGCGTTTTCGGTTGTGGGGTCGACTTCGGCGTCGTCGTCTTCCATGGGCACGTCTTCGGCGACTTCTTGGGGGTTGAGTAGTGGGTCTGCTTCCTCGCCGTCTGTGACGGTTTGGAGGACGGGGATCTTTTGGTAGCGCTGGCTGAAATGCGTGAGGACGACGGATTTCGCGTTCATCGCCGCGCCGATACCGAGTGCTTCAGAGGTGGTGGAGTGTTTCTTGGCCTTTGCGTCGCCTTGTAGTTCATCGTCGAAAGTTGCTTCGTGGATGAGGACTGTGGTGTCTGCTCCGATCTTGGCGAAGTGGCCGCTTGGTCTGCAATCGCCTGAGTAGCTGACCTTGAGTGGCTTGATTTGTTCAAGGTCTGCTGGGTCACGTGGGAATGTAATCGAAACAGCCATGGCACCGTGGCAATGCGCTACTCTGGAAGCTTGTATTTCGTTGAAACCAAACAGTTTCTCATACTGTTTTTTCGGTATGGCCGCGTTCTCAGATAGTGTCTTTCCGAACGAGTTCAGTATAGACAACCTCGAGCCATTCTGATATTCGTTGGGAGTGATTTGAAGAGGAAGAATTCGACTGTAGCCAAAGTCCTCGATGGCTGAGTATTCGTTAAGCCATTGGAGCATACCACTGTGGGATACGACAGCAAGACCGTATGCGCTAGGATCTATGTTGCTCGCGGAAGGGTCCAGGGGCTGGGGGTTTGGAACAGCATTGTGTGCTACTTGGTACCAAGCACGAAGTACTGATGCTGTGCCTAGGTGGTGATCGGCATGCAAGTGACTGATCCAGATCATACGCAGATTCTTGAAGATATCGACAAGCTCCTCGTGGGGAAAGACTCTTGAAAGCTGACCCAATGTGTTCTCCCCGCAATCTAAGAGGTAGTTGCCGATGCCAGGAACACGCACCAATGTGGAAGACACGTTACGGTACTTGGACGGAAGGGCAGAACCTGTTCCGAGTGTCGTTACCTCGGTGTCACGACGCGCTAGTAGCTTACTCCATATCTGCATCTCTCTGCTTTTGCTTTTGACCTCCGCTTGAGCCTTTTGAGCCAATTCGAGAACCTCAGGCGGCGTTGTAAGTGCCACTTCATCGGGTACGAAGAGACTAGATATAGTGTTTTTCTTTGTGGCAAACTGTGGCATGAGATTAAAGCCAAAGCCTCGGTCAGCGCGGATGGCTCCGGAGGGCAACGGCGGTGCTGTCGACATGCCAGTCCTGTATATACTTGTTTGCGGTACAGTAGTGTTATCGAAAACGGGTGTGCGATATCTTGACGGATCAATCTGCCCAAGTCGCGTAGCTTGTCCTGCTACCGAGTCGTGCGCGATGCGATTCGGCGCAGTATCTAGAGAGGATATTACGTGTTCTACGTTGTGGATCTTGTTCATGAAATTGAGTAGATCTGGGTGACCTACGACGCCTGGACCAAGCATCCAAACGATAGCTCGAATTCCAGTCATAACCTCTGGAGAGCTAAGCTCTTCTCGTTGAAGAGTGCTTTCAATGTATTCAACTGAGGGGATGTCCAAGATGGCGATACCCTGACCGGGTCTATCAGCGCCCATGACCTGATCTGGGGTAATCATCTCGCCGTCCGCGTTCGGTACCGATATGCCATTGGTGAGCTTTCCGAAATCCGGTCCTGGTTTGACACCTAGCGCTTTCGCGCGTGCGACGTCGAATTGACCACGAGCTGAATGCGACCGCACGATGTACGAAACACACTCTGGTGCTGGCCTAGTCGGTGGTAGCGCCAGAATCATAGCGCCAGGCCACGGCGTCCTGGTCCAGACTTTAATGTCAGGAAGAGGCTCTTTGCCCCCTGGCATCGGCCCTTGGTAGGCCGAGAAGCCGTGTGTATCGGGGTTACGAATGAATATTTGAGCAGGCACTTGTACCTCAGAAATGTGGCGTTCTGCCAGTGTATCCATCTTCCAATTCGAATCGAACATGTACTTGATGGTCGCTGTCCGTATCCGGTCGTACCTCAACTCGCGGTCTTCCGGGCTCTCATTTTCGGGAGCCTGTAGTCCGTCAAATGTATTCTCGTGTTCATCGAAATACCGTCGCCGCGCCTCCAAATCAGAATCCGCTTGCGCATCGACTTCAGAGTTGACAGGCGCTACTGAGAGAGCCCAAACTTTGATATTGTCGTCCTCCCACGTCGGGACTATAGCGCCATTGCCGTCCTTCTCGGGTGACTGCTTCACGTACTCGGTCGCATTGATGGGTATGCCCTTCCTGAATATGAACCTCCGACACGTTGCCAGTGTATGTTTCAGATTCGGTGGCCCATATATGTCGAAGTGCGGCTTCGCGGGTGCCTCGCCTTTCTTTCCCCGCTCTTGAGCCAGACGAAAGGTATCCATGGCGGTGGTGTATGAGCTAGTGGTCGAGTCGGCCAATGTGAGCATCATGCCAATCAATCCACCCATGTTCTTCCACTCTGTCCTGCCTGTCATGAAGAAATCTTGCGCCTTCAGCAGACGTGTGCCCTGCTGCACCATCGCCCGCTGGGTGCCCTCTGCCAGGTTGCCGAAAACATAGTGTTTGCTTGCCGTCCGCAGCACGAGCGTTGTTCCCGGCGTATCGGCCGTAGGCGTTGTGACGACCTCAACGCTGCACGACATGTCTTTTCTTCTCAAGAACTCGGTTCTATTAAACTCCACAGGAGGCTTTGTATGTTTGTTCTTGGGCTCGGAGGGTTCAAGGTTTGGCGGTTGCGTAAGGGAGCATGAGGCTGATCCGATTGGAGCTTTGGGGGGTTGATATATCAGACGTGTGAGTACCTTCGCTTCTGCTAGGTGTTTCGCCTTGCCGCTTTTCGTGTGTTTAGATGCAACTGGTTCAGGATCGAGGGGTAAGCGGTAGATCTTCGAAAACGTTCGAATGGATGGTCGAAACCGAGGAGTAGCTCTGGAGCGGAGAGTAAAGGCAGCGAAGTTCGTATGCGCTATGGGCCGACCGTATCGTGGGCGCAATGCGAAGAATGGGACATTAGTCGTAATGGTCGTAGCTCGCTCCGTGGCGCTAATTATGGAAGCCAACTTGACGAAGGGAAGGAATGACACGAGAAGCAACTATGTACAGCCCTGGAAGCATCAGGGTGAGAGAGCGCGTGCAACGAGTCGAAATGATGCGCGTCACTTTTCGCGATGCGTCAACGATCAAGGCTAGATTTAGGCGAAGTAGAGGCCCGTGCGAACTAAGCCCGAGCGGACTTGTTCCGCGACACATTAACTTTCTGTCCATCCCTCCATCTTGATCAAGACGCTGTTTTCATCGGGTATCATTATTCGTCTGAACTATACTACTTTTTGTTCCTCATGTTGAATCTCCGTACGCCTCAAACACTCTCGCTTGACACATTCTAGGCATTCTTCTTCCGGAGCGCTCCACCATCAACAGTAATGTCCTGACCAGTCACGAAGCCTGCCTCGATGAGGTACAACGCGGCATCAGCAATATCCTTCGGCCTTCCAGCTCTGTTGGTCGGATGGTCAGAGACGTCCTTCTCACTAATCTGGCCTGCCCAGTCTGCCCCGTTCTCGTCGCCCTCTTTGCTCTCGTGTGCGACCTTGATGCGCCCGGGAGCGATAAGGTTGACTCGAATGCCCAGGCTACCCAGGCTGATTGCCATGGAGTGCATCAAACCAAGCTGACCTGACTTGCTTGAAGCATAGCCCTCCTGGTTCGGATCAGACTGATGCGCACGGAAGGAGCCGATGTGAATGATGCATGGGCCTGCAGGACTGGAGTTGTTGGCGTTCTGGATGTGTGCGCCGTGTTCAACATCAGATGCTCGGGCTTTCATGTAGGGGATACAAGCTTGTGACATAGCGAAGGGACCAGTGAGATTGGTGTCGATGTAGGCTTTCCACTCATCAATGGTCGAGAGGTCCTCCATGGTCTTGCCATCCTTCCACTGCGGAGACGCGATTCCGCCGTTATTGATCAACACATCAATGCGGTCGTTGAAGAACTTGGCTGCCTCTTTGACTTTGGCACGGATGTCCTCGACGTCGCGAAGATCGCAGAGTGCCGAACCAAGCCTACCATCGGCGTAGTACTGCTTGAGGTGGACCTTGGTGGTGTGCTCCAGCTCTTCTTCATCGATATCGAAAATGTAGGCGTGGTGGCCAGCTTCGAGCATCATCCGAGTCAATGCTCGGCCGATGCCTCGTGCACCACCTGAAATGATGATGTTCTTGTATAGCGCAGGAGCTGGTGCTTGGCCTGCCATCTTGAGGGTCTTGAAATGTGGAGTTGGTATTGTTCGGTATGGAGACGTGTTCGCGGGGTGTGAACTTCGCGTAGGTGTTGTTTGTTTAAGTACGTTGCTCTGACGTCACGCCTCAACACATCGTTTATCGCCACGACGTGTGCTGCACGAGATCTTGAAATCGGAAATCGTTACGAGGATCTCATTTTTGCGGGTCTTACCCTTACTCAAATTTCTAGGCCAAAGACTCACATTGTGTTATGTTGTACAGTTGTTAAGGGAAGACAATTTATGTTCCAAATGTAGTACGACTAGAGTACAACTCAACCATAAACCAGACCCTTTGAGTACGATGATCAAAAGTAGTTCGCAGGACAAGTGATATGATGTTACCAATACTTGATACTATCACATTCTCGTGAAATCTGGGGCCACTTTGGCTAATCATATGTCGAGTGAAGGGAAGCTCAGCATCTTGAGCGTACGGCCACCTCACACAAGTATGAACCTGAGCAGATGTGTAGACTGCACTATAATAGGCCAAACTAGATACAAGGTAGATGTAAAAATCCGGCGTAGATGTAGACTCTGGGGTGTTCAGTGTTTTCCGTGCATGAGACGCGGCATGATGATGAAGCAGAGCCACCCCCATGATAACATTTCTAGTGCAGCCGCCCCTTCCCGATCTGTTGAAACATTCGAGGAGATGAAAGTGAGTGATGAGAGGGTAGCTACTTCCTCAGTCCAACGATACCGCTTCCAAGGTTGGTAACGAGCCCACGTGGCAGAAGATCGGTACCTTCCCATCTGAACCAGAACTGGGCAACGCACTCACCCATAAATAATTTATTTGCGTACACGCACCCCATCAACTCTACACAAACCACCACCAAGAATACGTCTGCAACATGGTTACCTCTACAGCCGCCGACCCCCAGTGCGTCCACGCCATGGTCGCTGAAGACGTTCTCAAGTTTATGTGTGGCCTCATGATCTACGTCTGGTTCGCCATGGATGCCTTCTTCAACATGACCAGCGAGAACAAGTTCCCAGCGGTGTTGGCGTGGCTAGTGCTCATTCCGGTACGTACGCTGAAGATAAAATTCGTATCCGCTTTAACACATTTCAGATCACTCTGTTTCTCCTTACAAACATCGTCATTGTGCACGTAGACGCGATCTCCAGGAAATACAAACTCGACAACGACGCCGTCACCGGGCTCCAATACATACTCGGTTGCATCTACGTACTGGTATTTCTGTCGATGTGTGCGGCGATACGATTTGCAATCCCGAACGGCCACCTACTGGTCTGGTCTTCCTTCTTTCTGCTACCGGTAAGTCCTCGTGGTAGAGCCTGTATCGACAATTCTAACTCTTCGTAGGTCTGTGGCATGCTCTTTGCCCTCGCCATCGACGCTGGGGTCAGAGGATGGTAGGTGGAATATCCCTGCCTGTGGATTCGGTTGAGGAAGGGGCGACTTCAAACGAAATGCGCAAACTTTAGAAAGACGGGGAGGCGGGGAACGAAAAGCAAGAGATCAGAGACGATGGATAGAATCAATCATGTCACCATGTTACACCTGAGTGAACGTAAAAATCGCATCCATAGATCTTTTATCAAAACACGACAACCAAATCCCTCCTGACGCCAGTGAACACCGAGTTCCGTCAAAGTACAGGTATATGACCACATGCATGCAATCGTTTGAAATCAGAAAAGCGCCGTCAGCCCATTGTAGCTCAACATTCCGTCTATTGCGAACGCTGGTAAACACCGACAACCATGGCGTGGTCACGCTCGAAGGGCTCAAGGGTGAGCTGCTCCTTGGGCTTGATACCCATCTCTCGTAGCTTGTTGACTTCCTGTGCGAAGACGGCCTCGGGGGCAGCGGTGGAGTCGATACAGTTGGCCTTGATGGAGATGACGATACCACCTCCGACCTTGAGGAAGAGTCCGGCGTTGAGACCGACGATACGGGCTTGATCGGGCTGGGCAACGTCGGCGAAAATGCAGTCGACCATGCCGACGAGCATGCGGTACTTGAGAGGGTGACGGGCTGCGAATTGTTAGAGAATGTCAGAAAGATGGAACGCGAAGTACATACCATCCTCAACGATGGGGATGACGTTGGTGCGGTGGGTGGCCATGTTGATCAGATCACGACCAGAGCGGTGCGAGAACTCAACAGCGAAGACGGTTCCCTCAGGTCCAACGATATCAGCAACGTGGGAGACTGATGTTCCGGAAGCGGCACCGAGGTACAGGACCTTGGAGCCAGGGCCCATGTAGATGTTGTCGACACCACCCAAGATACCAGCGGCCAACTTGGAGCGGAAGGGGTTCCAGACACGGTACTCTGTGCTGGAGGGGGCTTCGGTCTCGCCGTCCTTGGGCGCGGTGCTGGCACCAACGCTGATGCGCTTCTCGCCGTAAACGGACTCGCCGGGGGTCAAGTTCTTGGTAACGAGGAGATCCTCCTTTCCGCGAGCGACGAAGACACCGGCGTGACGATGGCTAGAGAAGTGGTTAGTGACTGTCTTGCACGCCTCTGAGCTGGCTGGACCTACGGCTCAACAATGACCTTGGCGCCTCCGCGCGCTCCTCCACGGGCACCTCCTCGGGGCGCACCACGGCCTCTTGGAGCTCCGCGACCGCGAGGAGCACCACCACGGCCACCACGGTCACCACCGCCGCGGCCTCCGCCGAAACCACCACGTCCACCCCTGGGGGTGAAGCCACCGCGACCGCCACGGTCACCGCCAAATCCACCACGTCCGCCGCCGCCACGACCGCCTCTGTGAGAAGTTAGAACTGCGCTACAGATAGATGTTCATATATGAGTACGGAGAAGCTCGTAGTCCCTGCATCGTTCTGAAAACAGCTCAGAAAGAACAAGCTTCTCCATAGCGTTGGACGCGCATGCTGAGCGAGCAGACGTAGATATACAGTATCTATGCAATCACATCTTGCTCAACATGCCGCGGTTTGCGCATTGTTCATATTGCGATAGGATTTCGAGGCCTGCGGAAGTCGTACCTGGGAGTGAAAGCCATTGCTGAAAGTTGTCGGGATAGTTCGAGTAGGTTATGGGATGCGAAAGCTACTGCGCGAGGTTAGTCTTGAGATGGCAGAGTACAAATATCAGCCCAAGTACCTCTGGGTGCTCTGTTCCACTATATGCGCGTTGACTGTGCGCGTTGAAGTGGCTGTGGGTACGGTATGTCGCGGTAGATGCGATGGGTGCAGCTTTGAAGTTCGCAGAGCTACATTTTTTCAAAAGTAGCGCCAAATCTGCGCAGCCAATCACGTGCGGGAGGCGCAAGCGGCCCGCTATAATGCCGTGGGCGCGACTTTGGCTTTTTTCGGTTGGGTCTGCGACTTAGTCATCAAGGCCACTTTCGCTCGAGAAGTCGTCGAAATTACCTACCACGTCGGCAGTCCACTACTAACAACAGCACAACTCGACAAAATGGTACGTTGCCCGTCGCGATATACTGTCGGACCTTGCACGCACGAATATGGAATTAATTCTTGCAGGTTCGCTACGGTGCCTCCTCCATTGACGGCGCAAAGTCTGCTCGCGCCCGCGGCAGCTACCTCCGCGTATCCTTCAAGAACACCCGCGAGACCGCCCAGGCTGTCAACGGCTGGAAGCTCGACCGCGCCCTTACCTACCTCGGAAATGTCCTGGAGCACAAGGAGGCTATCCCCATGAGGCGGTACGCCGGCAGCACTGGACGCACTGCTCAGGGTGAGTAGCCCTTCCCACGATTCGCACAATGCGCAGATGGAACTTGGCACGGGAGGAGGAGCTATTGGGTGTTGGAGATGGATTCATGTTGGCAATTGCAGGAACACGGGCTGACTTCCGCAGGCAAGGCTTTCGGTGTCTCCAAGGCCCGCTGGCCCGTCAAGTCCGCTGAGATCCTCATCGGTCTCCTCAAGAACGCCGAGGCCAACGCCGACACCAAGGGTCTTGACACCAGCAACCTGATCATCAAGCACATCCAGGTCAACCAGGCCCCCAAGCAGCGAAGGCGCACTTACCGTGCTCACGGACGTGTATGTACACACCGGCCCACAGTCGCACTCCCCTCTAACATACCTAGATCAACCCGTACATGAGCAACCCCTCCCACATCGAGCTCATCCTCACCGAGGCCGCCGAAGTTGTCCAGAAGTCCAACCAGACCCTTGAGCGCCGTATGAACTCTAGGCAGCGTGGCCGTGCCGTCCGCAAGGCCATCACTGCTTCTGAGGAGTAGAGGAAGCAGGGGAAGTTGATGTTCAGGCGAAGAAAACGGTCAAGGCATGGGCACGGTTTGGGAGTCAATGAGCGATGAATATTCAGGGTCTTTCCACACTCGTCATGTATTCATGATATGGCACTTCGATTTCTGCGGTGTCTGGTCCGTAAAAATAAATAGGGCCAAGGCCTGTTCCCAAATGTTCAAAGCCGAGACTTCCAAGTCGCAAGTTCACGATGTTCGCCAGTGTATTTGATTCCTCTACGATGACAGGACGCTGAACGATTCCAGCGGTACATCTCTCCCAAGGTCCGGCCGCAGTCATCAACATGCTATTTCTTACAATGGAGCCAGTCCTCTACGCGTGCTCAGAACGAGCTCTGAAGGAATGCGCTGCTTGTTTACATTCTCATAAGTACGACCAAGGATTTCAGGAATGTTACTAGAATGAATTTGCGGTACGACGTAGAGGAACATGGGCTGCTTTGACCAACTATGAACGCATGTCAGAATTGACCTCCACATGCATCGATAGACCCTGAGATTCTAAGATTTCCCGTCGTGTGCCTGGGGCTGACCGCAGGCTGCGCTACTATCAACATGCGTTAGCGTGATTGTGAACTTTGGCAGCTCGAACCCAGAATACCAGCTAAGCAAGGCCCAACGGCCAGCTAAGCATGCATGCCGCTAATATCTGAGATGAGGCTGGCTGCAAATCCCACATCATTTCCTTCGAGTCAGTTGCGGTCAGATACGATCTCTTGCCTTGCT